TTTCTTTCTTTCTTTCTTTCTTTCTTTCTTTCTTTCTTTCTTTCTTTTTTGAGACAGGGTTTCTCTGTGTAGCCTTGTCTGTCCTGAAACTCGCTCTGCAGACCAGGCTTACCTCAAACTCTGAACTTCGCCTGCCTCTGCCTCCTGAGTGCTGGGCTCAAAGGTATGCGCTGCCACTGCCTGGTTTTAGTTTCAGTTTTGTAAGTGTCAGAGAATACAAACCCAATCCAAACCCCCATCTGGCAGTTTAAGGATTTATTTTATTTGACAGGTTCTGTCTTCACGGTGGGATAGAATGGTGGAGCGGGAGAGCTCACATCATGATGGCAAAGAAGGATCCAGAGACACAGGGACACACAGAGAGAATGCCTGTGCTGGCATGCTCCCTCCTTCCTCTTATTCCCCTTCAAATCCCCAGCCTGCAGAATGGCTCTGCCCACCCTGAATGGATCTTCTTAGTCCTTACAGACACAGGTGAAAGCACGCTTTATGAATTGCTTAGTATTCCAGACCTGACCACCAAGATTAACTAGCAGGTTGAAGGGGGAAGCATCAACCCTGTCGGCTTGTGAGGTAAACAGATGTCCACTGTTGTCCTCCCACGTGATTGTCCTTAAGCGCTGTGTGGAAGCACTGGGCTTGTCCCATTTCTCCCTCTCAACCACACAATGAGGTATTTATTCCCCCATTTTCCACATGAACAAACAGAGTCTCAGAACTTAGTCCCTTGTCTAGGTTGGATGGACAGTTGAACTGGCCGGGTAGGGATGCAACCTGTCTTGGAGCATCTTATTCCTACACAGGGAAAGCATCTGCCAGTGCCACAACTACTGTTTATCTATTATTACTGTATATGTATGGTGTGTGTGTGTGTGTGTGTGTGTGTGTGTGTGTGTGTGTGTGTGTAGGATAGAGGGCTATAAAGGCCAGTCTGTGTTTAGACAACATGGCACTGATATGGATATCCAAGCATGGGCCAAGATGGAAAAAAAAATGGCTGACCTTCGATGTTCAGGGACATGATGGTATAATCTTTTATTTAACTATTTCTGACAGAATTCCACTTTTGTGTAAGTCTGTATCAATATAGCCTTTAGGTTAGATGAGAGAGCAGTTACCTTCACCTTTGCCAGTGTGTCTGTCTGGAGACCCATGTGCCTGCTTCCATGTGGCTCATATGTCAATCTTAGTGTATGCTTATGTTTTCCTGTGTGCTGGTACATGCCTGCCTAGTGGTCCATGTGCTGGTAAATAAAGTATGTAAGTAAGATAGTCTTATCTATCATGCTTTGCATTCTCTTCAACCTCCCAGCATGCTGTGACCCTTCTCTGTTTCTGGTTTCCAAGCTTGGATCTCAGTGTGTGGGGAGCATGTGTGTGCCACACACCTGTGCCAGAAGACAACTTTGTGGAGCCACATCTGTCCTAACTTTTTGTAGAAATCAGGGATTGAACCCAGGCAAACCTTGGCATGGCAAACCTTGAGCCGTGGTTGAATTCAAATACTTTATGTAGCCAAGGACAATCTTGAACTGTTGGTTCTTCTACTTCTACCATTCAAATGCTGGGAGAACAGAAACATGGCACCTCACAGTTTATGCAGTTCTGGGTCTTGAGCACAGGGGCTTCATGCATGTTAGACAAACATTCTACCAACTGAGCTGCAGCTCCAGGTTACCACCAGGCCTTCTGGTGTCTTTCTTTAATCAGAAGTCTCTGCTCCAAGATGCATTATTGACACCTGTTGGATCTGTCAAAGCAAAGACACAAATCTAGAGCATCTTTAATGTGAACAGTACTCCTTTAGATTCAGGCTGACTTGGTGTAGTGCACAACCAAACATGAATTGGACAGAAACTGCAGTCAGATGTTTATTGCATGGTAGTTCAACGAGTAAAAGGGATCTCTGGCACTGTAACCTCTGTGGCCTCTGGAACAGAGATGTGTTGGATGCTTGGAGTTGGCTGGTTTGTGTTGACAAGCACCAGGTTAATAGAGAAGCAATGCTTTTCTTTGGCTTGCTTCTTTTTGCTGTTAGGTTGGATCTTGACCCTTGGCTTTGTGGCCCCTGCAGAGGCTCGCTTTGAGGCCACTGAATGCGATGTTGTCACAACTGATCCAGAGGGTACCTCTAGGGAATCTGTAGAGAGTACCTTTGGGGAATCTGCAGAGGGTACCTTCAGAGAACCTGCAGAGGGTACCTTCAGGGAATCTGCAGAGGGTACCTTCAGGGAACCTGCAGAGGGTACCTTCAGGGAATCTGCAGAGGGTACCTTCATGGCATCTGCAGCGGGTACCTTTAGGGAATCTGCACAGGGTGCCTTTATGGCTGATGCAGTGGGTGCATTCCTGGGAATGCACAGGAATGGGCAGACATTATTTTCCACCCCATATGCTTGAAGAATAGCCTCGGGGTCCTCACGGAAACAGAGTTCTGTGGCCTTGGGGATAGGAACATGTGTCTGTGGCTCCCTTGTTTCGAGGGAGCACAGTTCCAGGCGGTAGCACTTTCTAGGAGACTGCTTGGACGGATTCTTTACTGTATCCTGATTCTTGAGGAAGGATGCTCTGGGCTTGTCGGCCTTGGAAGACTTGGTGGTGGGTTTGGGGGCTTTGGAAGATGTCTGGAGCATGACGTTAGGACACTTGCTTAGAGTTTGGGAAAGCGATCTTGGCTGTCATCAAGGAGGGGTGTCCTGTGATGCGTCAGGTGGCTCCAGTCTGGGTCAAGGCAACACAGGAGGCAGTGGCTCACAGGTGGCTGAAGGGGCAGAGACCCCCTGGAGAGAAGCTGTCACTGAGGTGACTACAGAGGCCACCCCATTCCTACAGGAGAATAATTTGTGAGACTGGAGCAGGAATTCTAGAAAAAAATATCTTTCAAAAGGGAGGCTCTCTTTTCTTCTTGGATATAATTCTACTTCTCAGTCACTTATCTACTTATTCATTTATTTATTCATATGTTCATCCATTCACCCCTCCATCTACATACTCAATTCATTCACTTCTCATTTCCTCGTAGGCTGATTCATATAGTCAACCATTCATTCTACATCATTAACTGACTCAGACTTTCATTAATTAATCCAATAAATGCTGGACTGCTAAAATTGGAAATATCTACAAAGGGTTATGTGCATGCTAGGCATACTGACAAGGATAGCACTCAGCTTAGGGGCCATCGAGCTTCTCTGTGGCTCAGGGCTGAGGAGACATTAAGCGGTTCAAGGCTAAAGAGACAGTAGTTCAGGAACAGGAAGCTGTTCAGTGGTTAAGAGCTCTTGATTACAATTGCTGAGCACCTGAGTTCAATTCCTCATACCCAAATGGCAGCTTAAAACCATCTATGACTCCAGTTCCAGGGAACCTACCAATCCTTCTGGTCTCCATGGACACCAGGCACACATGCAATCCATATATAGAAAGAGAGAATGCAAGCAAAATGCTCATATACATAAAATATAAACAACAAATCTTTAAAAAAAAGTCATCTTAAGCCTCTTAACATTTCCATGAGGAAAGTGATTATTATAGACTAAATATTTGTAACCCTGCCCCTATATTCTTATGGTGAAGCCTGCATTTGGGGGGTGTTGTGTAACTGTCCTTAAGACTAAGACAGTTTTAAAGAGAGGGTGTAAAGATTCACTCTATAAACAACTCTCTGCTTTCAGGAAGTCCCTGAAACTTAACAGATTCACAAGTTTCCACACCCTCTAAGCTTATATAAGTTGTGATATGAGCAGAAGCTCTGAGCACTCAATAGCTTTTCCAGTCCAAAGTTAAAAACTGCCACCACAATCCCCCTAAAACATAAGTCTGTCATATCAATACCCCATGACCTGGTATCAATTTCTGTCATAGTTAGAGTTTCTTTTGCTGTGATAAAACACCATGACCAAGAGCAACTTGGGCAGGAAAGGGTCCATTTCATCTTTTGGCTTGTAGTCCATCATCTAGGGAAGCTAAGTCAGGCACTGAAGCAGAGACCATGGAGGAGTGTTGCTTATTGGCTTGCTCTCTATGGGTTGCTCAGCCTGCTTTCAGATGCACCTAGGACCACCTGACCAGGGTGGCCCCACCCACAGTGGTCTGGATCTTCCCACATCAATTGATAATTCAGAAAATGTCCCAAAGACTTGCATACAATCCAGCCCCCTCTCCTCTCTCTTCCCTCCTTCTCTCCCCCTCTCTCCCTTGCCCTCCTTTCCTCCTTCTTTCTCTTCCTTTTTGAGATAGGGTCTCTGTATGTGGCACTGGCTATTCTGAAACTCATTCTGAGGCCAGTCTGAGACTGGCCTCAGACTCAAGAGATTCCCCTGCCTCTGCCTCCTGGGTGCTTGGATTAACGGTGTGTGCCATCATTACCAGACCTTGGAGACATTTTTTTCTCTTTCTCTTTCTTTCTTTCTTTCTTTCTTTCTTTCTTTCTTTCTTTCTTTCTTTCTTTCTTTCTTTCTTTCTTTCTTTCTTTCTTTCTTTCTTTCTTTCTCCTTCCTTCCTTCCTTCCTTCTTTCTTTCTCTTTTTTCTTCTTTCCTTTCTCTCTTTCTTTCTTTCTTTCTTTCTTTCTTTCTTTCTTTCTTTCTTTCTTCTTTTTTCTCTCCCTCACCTCTTTCTCTCTTTTTAAATTTTTTTTATTTTTTATGGTTTTTCAAGACAGAGTTTCTATGTTTAATAGCCCTGGATGTCCTGGGCTTGCCTTGTACACCAGGGTTGGCCTCGAACTCACAGAGATCCTCCTGTTTAAATATATAGGTGACTTTGTGTAGCTCTAGCTGTCTTGGAACTCACTCTGTAGACCAGGTTGGCCAAGAACTCACAGAGATCTGCCTGCCTCTGGCTCCCAAGTGCTAGGATTAAAGGTGTGCACCACCATGCTTGGAAGCATTGTCTTAATCAAGCTTCCCTCTTGTCAAATGACTCTAGCTTGTGTCCAGTTGACATTAGACTAACCAGGCCAGCTGCTGAGGAGAGAAGACTAACTTATAAGGCTGCCTGCAAGTTGAGTAGAGAGCTCTGGGGTTCTGGCTTTTAGGAATTGTCACCCATATTAGTGTGGGCTTTTGGAGATGCAATTGCCTCTGAGTTATCTGTGCTCTCTAAGCAGCCCCTTACACTCTGCAAGTAACAGGGTTTTTCTGTGTGTAGCCCTGGCTACCTGGAATCACTCTGTAGACCAGGCTAGCCCTGAGTTCACAGAGCTCTGCCTGCCTCTGTCTCCTGAGTGCTGGGATTCAAGGCGTGTGCCACCACCGCCCAGCCTTTTTCTTTCTTTCTTCTTTCTTTTCTTTTTCCTTCCTTCTTTCCTCCCTCCCTTCCTCCTTCCCTCCCTCCCCTTCCTTCCTCCTCCTCCTCCCTCCTTCCCTCCCTTTTCCCTCTTCCCCTCCCTCCTCCCTCCTCCCTTCCTTCTTTCCTCCCCCTGCCCTCCTCCTCTCCCTTCCTTCCTCCTTCTTTCCTTCCTTTCTTTTAAAGATAGAGTCTCCCCACGTTGCTTGGCTGGCCTAGCCTGGAACTTCCTCTGCAGAGATCCACCTGCCCCTGCCTCCCGAGTGCTGGGATTTAAAGGTATGCGGTCACCATACCTGGTTTCTTCCTTCTTTTTGTCAGTTCAGGTATGCTAAGAAACAGAAGGCTGACTAACACAGCTGTTCTCCAGAAAGGCTGAGTAGGTTCCTATGGCCACAGAGCTGGGCAATAGCAAGGCTTGACATCCAGGCAGGTAGTTTCCATGGTGTGGCCTCTCCCCTTCCAGCTCCACTGGGACACCTTCTGAAAGCAAGGCCACCTCTCTCTTCCTAGGCCACACTTTAATGAGGTGAGTGCTCCCCAATAGGAAAGCAGAATAATGGGGCGGGTTAAGACTTGGGGACCACACCAGGTGCTGTGGGAATCATGGGAGAGGCTCCCTCACTGCCCTGAGGGGGGTGAGGGGTGATATGAAGGTTCCCCTCCTTGCTGGTTCACCACACTCTCTTTATCTGTGACATCAGCATCCATGCTTGGAGGAGGTCTTCCTGAGCCCATGCGATGACTTGCTGGTGACCCAGTCACCCCTGAGCATTTGTGGCATCAGGGCTAGAGAAAGGGGCAGAATTACCTCACGTCATCTAGAGCACACAAGTGACTGAGACAATGGGGTGGCCACACCAAAGCCTTTGCACGTGGCTCCCCTCACTCCTCACAGCTTCCTGTCTTGGCCTGGGAGGCCCATGCTCTACAAATCTGTGGGCTGTAAGGGCCAGGGAGTTGGGAAAGCTTGTTCTAACCCACCCTTTTATCAAACTGTGTATGGAGTCTTCAATAGTCTTTACCTGCCTGAGCCTTGACTTCTCAGTATCTGTCACGGCGTAGTGCTAGTAAACTCTTAATACTGGTCATATGGGCAGCATCTCCCACATCTGTTTTCCACCTTCTCCACAGTCAGAAAGTCTGACAGCACAGTCATGTTTAACTTTTTTTTTTTTTTTTTTTTTAGTGTGTGTGTGTATCATGGTCATAGCATGTGAGTGGAGGTCAGAGGTCAACTTACAGGAACCTGTTCTCTCCTTCCACCGCGTGAGTTCCAGCAATCACACTCAGGCTCATCAGCAGGTTCTCAGACTTGCTGGGCCACCTCACCAGCCCCTCACGTATGTCTTTTAACAAACTGACTGCTCACTTAATTAATATTGTGTGCTTGTGTGTGAGAGAGAGCGTTTAGATGCACGCATGCCACGGCCCATCAGAGGGTAGCTTGTGGAATTTGGCTCTATCGTTTCACCTTGTTCTGAGGCAGGGTCTCTCTCGTCTCTGCTTTGCCGAACACACTCTAGGCCAAGATGGTCCACGAGCTTCCGAGTGCTCCTTTTTGCCTCTCCTCTCACCCAAGGGTGCTGGGGTTACAGGTGCTCCTACATCTGGCTCTTTATGTGAGTTCAAGGGATCAAGGTCAGGCTGTCCTTCCCAGATGTCTCATTCCTCCATTATTCCAGGCCTCCCTTTTAGTGAGACGTGCTTACTTGAGTAAGTCCTCATCTCTGGACAGTGAGCTGAAGCAGCATGCAAACAAACACAGGCATCACTTCCAGGGAAACTTCCTGCTCCACTCTCTCTCTTTCCCACGGGTGAGTAGCCAGTTAGGGAGGGCACCGTCTATGACATAGAACCAAGTGGAAAGGACTTTGACCCTCCATGGCTGTGTAGTTCAGAGTTGCCCCACTAGCTTGGGCCACTAACCTCTGCGGCCTCACAAAAGCTAGAAATAAAACAGTGAATGTCTGAGCCATGGTACTGGGGGGTTTCTTCGTGACAGCCACCCAGCACGCACAAGAGCTCGGTACACCGGACATGGAATGTCTGTCTTCCTTGGGTTAGCTGCAGATGGACAAGCACACTCATTTTGGGCCTTCGCCTACTTCTCTAAGCAGGGTTACTCACCCAGCCCTTGGGGGTCCTCAGATCGGGGGGCACTGTGACATCAGAAAGACAGTGGTAAGAACCCATTCCATTGTCAGGACATGACTACATCTCCTCCCAACAGGGGGCCCCTCCCACAGTGCCATCTTCACAGTGGGCAGAGCCTCACTGCGCATGGTTACCACGGGAGGATTGGCTGTGGGATCCTTGCACACACACACACACACACACACACAC